TGGTTCATTTAAAAATAAAAATGAATCAGAAGCTCACACTTTTCGAAGCCAAGAACATTATGTTGGCACTGGTGCCTCAGAAGGGAATTAGGAAAGTCTCTCCTGGGCTGGAGTGCTTCCTGGCTGATCTGCAGGATTCCTGTGTGTTCTCCACAGGGACCTGCCCCAGACACAAGCAGGGTAATTCAACAGTGGAGGATTGGATCACTCAGTCTGTGCCCTAGGAAAGAAAAGTTTGTGTCCTGACAATGTGTTTGAGCAGCAGAGTCTGGGCAATACATTGAGGCATTAAGCTCTGCAAGAAATGGAATGCCATAATTACTCAGATTTGGGGGAAAAAAAATAAAATCAGCTAGTGAAAAGCTACATCCCCCTCCAAAAAGCATGTCATTTCTTAACAGTGCCTCTGAAGTGTTAGTTTGCTTTTGGCATTTTTCCCCTTTATCTCAACCCCTCAAATAAGCCATAATGACAGCCAGGGTTGCATGTTACTTCGTGTACTGCCTTGCAAAGCACTGGAATTCCTTAGGTGTCTTAAATTATGGGCTTCTTTAGGACAAATGACTTATATTCTGCCTGATATTGACCAATATGCTGAAAACAGCACAAATATTGGATAGAGTTCATATTGTTATTGCACAGACATTTGTTAGACTATGCAAAGTTAAAGCTTCATGTGTTTTATTGAAAATAGATTTAACAGTCTAATGGGCTCTCATGTGGGACAAATACAATACAATGTGAATACTTGTAGATCTGTATGTCACAACCAGAAAATATAACTCTATAAATCTCTGCCAAAGCTTCACCTCTAATTTAATCTCCTTCATTCACCTGAAATAATTTTTGATAGCAAATTCTTAACATTTCCTTTAATTTTTCTAGTTGGATCCTTTTTCTTAATCTTGTGGACAAGTCTAACAAAACCTTTTTGTCAGCACACTTTCATTGTGTTGTTGACTAGAATTTATGAGAAATACAAGAAAATCTAATCTCAGTGATCTTTTCTTCCTGGGAAAAAGCAAAAGATCTGAGGAGTTTCAGTTAAACAAGTACTGTTACAGGGTGATTCTCCCCTGGCCTGTAATAGGTTTTGTCATTTAAACTTTTGGAAACTGGGAAAGCAGGAATATTTCTGTGCTGCAATAGAAATTTATGTCTCCTTTGCACATGTCTAAATGAGCACAGGAGGGAGGCAGTGGTGGGAATCTGGACTGTGGATCTTGCACAGTCTGGACCACTAAGCTTTTTCACTGATTCCCAGAGTGAGGAATGATTGCTCTGACATTTTTTTCCCTCCTTTCAGTACTGAAATTCTTATGAGAAATCCAAAGCTGCTATTTTTGGCAGGCATGAACAGTATGATTTTTGGTACCTTACTTCAAAATGTAATCTATTTTCTTTTAATTGCCACAACAGCTTTATGGTCCTCAGCGCTATTAAAATGTTTCAGGCATTAAAAAATAAGGCTGTAAAATAATGAAGAGGGCCTTTCATGCAACATCCCGCTCTCCACAAAAGCATAATCACACAGAATATTGAATCCTAAGAGATCATACACTTACCACTTTCCCTGAAAGGAAGCCAGATTCTGCTCTCATTTGAACTGCATCAAATTTAGGCCAGTAAACATGAAAAATAACCCAAACCTCAGTTTTTATGCAAATGCAAATAAGTCATAATATGTGAGTGATCTTTCCAAATGTGTGTACTACTTCTTGACCTCTTCTTTTTGACTTTGTTCCTAATCCAGTAACATTGTAGCATGACTGCAACTGTATGAAGTTGCCAGATCTAAGAACTTATGTAATGAAAAATGCTGTTGTTTTATTCTGGATCTATCTTTATTTTAAATTAAAACAAACAAACAAACAAACAATGGGACAAGCACATAATTTGAATGGAAGCAATTGCTTATGCACTGTGCTGTGCTGATTTGGGCTAAATGGGAATCTCAGGAAATTGCCATTTGTGGACATTGACATTTTCTGAGGTATTTGTAGGTGAACTTTTATTAACAGCTCTGTCCTTCAATAGAGGTTAATAAATCACTGGTGAATTTGCAGGCACTCTCAGAATAGATAGGAAGCCAATTCCTCTGAAAGATTACTCCTCTATTTGTTTAGCCACTGGCTCTTTGCTTGTAACTGATAGGTTTAAGAGCTGGGAATGCTGCATTTCCCTGTATGCTTTAGCTGACTTGGTAGAGATGTTTGTGTTTGATAAACGAGAGGATGATGAGGGGCTGGCTAAATGCAACAGGGTTTTTTTTTTTTTAATCTGCAATGGTTAGAGATGGGAATTCCTCAAGTAGGCAAAGCCACTGGCTTCTGGCAATGAGTAACTGTTTTTTGTCTTGGATGCAACCTGAGCTCGTTAGTGCTCTCTCTTCCTTTCACACATGCACACACACCCTCTTGGGTCAGCTCCAGCCCCCGTGATGGCTCAGGGGGAGCCAAACTGCTGCTTCTCTTCACTTGGCTTAGAAGTCTCAAAATGTGTAAAATGCACGTGTGTGTCAGTGAACCCCCAGCTGCTTGAAAACACACTTGATTGAACTGGGAAAACTTCAAGTGGAAATGTGCTAAATGTGTGAAAAGTGGAAAACATGGGGAGAGTGGGGGAGCCTGTCTGAGACAGCCACTCTGCAGTTTAAAAAGGGTCAAAATGGACCAGGGAAGTTCAGAGGCCAGATTTGTGTTCATGTTGGGTAAACACATGGGAAATTACATTTGGTTTGCTGCAGCAGTAAACAGAGAATAGGTATTAGAACAGGACATAAATATCTGTGTGCACTTGGTTCCTCTGTCCTGACTGGATAGGGCTCATCTGTGGGTACCCAAATATATTGTATGGATAAATTATTTACAAAGAGTAATCTGTTTTTTTATGGAAGTCTGTAGCTAAGTGCACATCACATTTCAGTTTTAAAATCCTGTTGCAATGCTGAGTTTCCAGGCAATATCTCTCTGCTCTGTCCTTGCAGATTTATATTTATGGTATCCATTAGCCAAGGTGTCCATAGGCATTCCAATTGGACTGGCTGATACCCAGGGGTGCCATCCAACCTCAACTATTCTTTGATTCTGTGGCCTCTCTCTTGGACATTGCTGTAGTGTGAGATGGTTTCAATTTGCAAGCTGACTTCAGTTTGGCTTTTCTGCCTTGCATAGAGGTTATTTTACAAAAGTGCTTAATCTAAAAATAATGATTTGAATGTAATGATTAGAAGTGGGTCAAAGAAGCTGGGATGTGAATTGTACCATGGGAGTGTTTGGAGCTTGCATGTGAGCTGGTAGCTCCCCAAAGGCTCTTTGAATGGACAAGCAAAAGGGTTGATGGTTTAGCAATCAAAGTGGCCAGTGATCAAAAGTTGCCCCCTCTCATTATTGGTGGAAAGGAATGGCTTGGGCAATGCTGGGCTGCCTTAATTGTAATCTGTCTTAATGAAGAGTAAATGCTCAGTGTGAAAAATGAAATAAACCAGCTTCTTTTCCCTTAGGCTTACACAACAAAGATTATTTCCCCGTGGAAAGCAGATGTTTAATTGCCCAAGACCAGAAGCAGGATAACACATGGCTGCTGTACCTGTTACAGCTGCGTGTGCTGCATGCTCAAGCTGCTGTGTCACAGCTACAGCTGCACACTGGGTCTGTTCACAAGGTAACTGTGAGAGCTGTCACACTGCCTAAAATCAGACTCAGCTGGTGCAGCAGGGTAACAGGGAAGGGAGTGCAATTGCCATTATTGTTAATACCTGCACAGAAAGAGTGGAAGTAAGTCTGGTATGGAGCCAAAGGCTCCCTCTGTGCAGTACAATTCAATCACCTCAGTGCGCGATACAGAGAAATTGTTTGAAATCTCTCTCCAATCCCACTGTTGCTCCATGAGTCTTTGGTTGTTCTGCCTGGAGGCTGGGGCTCTGCTCCCAGCCTGGGGGTGCATTTCAGCTCTCTGAAACTCCTCCACCAGCAGGAACTTCCCTGGGGATCACAGGACTGTGGGGCAGTGCTGCTGAGCTCATGGGGTGTGTCAGAGCAGAGGAAGGAGAAGGCCCTTCCTTGAGATGGGTAACGTGGTCAGGTCTCAGAAAGTCCTGCATTGGTTAGAACTGGTATTAGCAGTTTGCACTTGGGTTAATCTGGCAGCTGAGCTGCAGCCCCTGCTGTTCTTGTTTGCAATGGACAATGGCTGGTAGAGCCAGCAGTTCCCAAGGCAGGATTTCCATGCCAAATATATTCCCCCTTTATTTCTTCTGTGTCTCTCAGGGCAGGGAAGGGAGGAGAAGTCACTCCACTCTCTGTGCAGCTGGCAATGACATTACAAGAAGCTCAGGGACATTTTGGCACCCTGTATGACTCCTGCAGGGACCAAGCCAGTAAAGATTAACACCTGTTTCCAACAACCACGTTCTTAACTAGCAACTTCCTTCCACAAGACTAACTTTATTTTCTTAGTCTCTCTTTTTGTTTTGTTTCTAGCAACACACAGTTTTGTTGACAGTGAAGTATGAGTGATGTCCCATGTGCCCTGGTGGGTCTTTCAAATGAGCAAGCAGACAAGCTTCCCCTCAGAAACTCCTCCAAGGTGAGACACTCAGGCCACTTGGGATGTCATTGGGACACAAGATTCATGGAATGGGGAATCTGGACTTCAGATCCAGCATACAAAGAACTTCCCCAAACCTACACTTTATAAAGAAACCCCCAAACAAACAACTGTTTGAATCCATTTGAGAAATAAGCTGTCTGTTTTTATTTGAAAATTCTGTCTAGCTTGCTTGAGTCTGAACCCCCAGCAGAGCCTCAAGAAAAAAGGTACAGGAACGGGGAAAAAAAAACACCTGAAAGACTCTCAAGGTTGAGAGTCACAAATGAGGGAAAATATCTAATATTCACTTATTTCTGGTTGCAGAGCTTATTTTTATTAATGCACAGTCCCATTAGCTGGTTGCCATGATACAGGGCAGCTGAGAGGAGGTGCAGAGTAAGGAGGTGAATAGAACTCAGAGCACTCCAGGGAAATGTGAGCTTTTCATGGTTTTTCAACATCTGACCTCCTGAAGTCTCTCTCTTTGTGTTGCCTTTGATGGATGGACATGAAGCTCCCTGCAGAAGTTAGATGTAATTGGCATTGCTTTGGCTTGAGAACTGCCCTCCCAAGTCCCCTGGGGTTAATAGGGACAATTAATATTTGGATTAATACAAATAGCACCAAGCCTGAGAGCGCAGTGGGTGTTATAAGGAGTGTCTGCTTCTGCAGGAACTTGGGAGGGTGGTGATAGGAAGGAAGTGGTGATGGGAAGGGAGGAATATCTCCAGGAGATAATGGGAGCACTGCCCTGCCATGCTTTAATGACAGACACATTTATTCTGAAACAATAGGATGCTTTGGCTGGCATCCCTCTAGACTTACTCCTAGGGTTTTCAATCTCCAGGTGGCATTAATGGCAAGGAAAGCAGCTCCTTCTGGCTTGCCATGAAAGCCTGCTGCTTCTCTGTAGGAGAGTATCTGGCCATGCCCTTGGAAAATTCATCAAAGCTGCCCCGTACACTGATAGCTGGATCTGGAAATGAAGGAAATAGCAAAGAAGGAAGTTTCAGAAATAATGGAAGTTGACACCTCACTTTCTCAGTGTCTTTCTGCTCCCTCCCAAGGTCACTGCTTGTGACAGCCCAACATCTTCACCATGCCCTTTAAGCTTTTGAGTAAGCTCATCGTCTCAGAGACCACTCACATCTTTCCCACCCTTCCATGAGGGAGTTTTTCTGCAGCCCTGTCTCTTTCTGCTCCAGCCTCAGCTGGAAGCCTCTCAGGACTTGCCTTTCCCCTACCAGTGCAATCCTGCTCTCAATGAAATCAGGACACAGAAATCCTCCTCTCAACGTGGCCTCTCCTTTCAGCCTCTCCCTGGCGTGCACACTTGCAAATGGCTCAATTTCCTGCTGGCTCAGTGCAAATTTTTCAGCATGGGGATTTCTGTCTGGTGTTGCTTTGCAGCATGAAGCTGACAGGGATTTATGGCTCAGAAGGGACAGAAACGCTGCCAGGTTAAACTTCAGATGTGTGATCCCACCATGTGTCAATCAAAATCACTCTGCAGACTGATTTACTCTGCATTTCCCCCCCATGATGACCATGGTTGCACCCCATCAAATGGGCACTGAGATGCTTCAAATTCTCCAGCCCCCTATGTAGAGAAAGAGCAAAAATATCTGATATCAGTGGAGCAGGGAAAGGGTAGTGCAAGGAAATTTTGCTGACGAATGCAACTCATTGTGCAATTAACTGGCATAGCCTGATACCCTGTATTCATTTGCATATGTTTAAATGAATTAGGCAAGTCCTAATGCTGAAGTTGGCACCCAGACATTTGGGCTCATACAAGCACACCCAGCTTTGCTAAAAATGTCATAACTTTCAGCTCAGACATTTGTCTCTTTCATTTGATCACACCTATCTCTTCCTATATTGTTTTAAGTTATTTACAGAATATACCTCAATCCTTATGATATTTCCAAATGAATCACAAAATCAAACATTGTCTTACATATTTTAAAACACAAAAGCTCCATTACTATTTTATAATTGCTAATTAACAGATAAATGTTTCATACTCCCACATTTTTTATCCTCCAGATACAGCAAAACAAACAGATTAACAGAGGAAACCTGAGGACTGCAATATCTGTTTTATGATAAGAGCATTTAGTAACTTAATCCCTACTATGCTCAGCTCTCAAAGACAATGTACTGGTGGCTATGTGATACACAATAATGAACCAGTACAGCACATTTGTGTTGTTCTCCAGTTAGTGTGGGAGCTGAAATTTAGCCTGTTTGTTTTGGTTTTTCCCCCCCTGGGCTTGCTACTAATTTAAATGTCTTGTCTAAGGATGTAGAATGATTTCAAGCATTTTATAAGCCTTATGCTGTGAAATGGAGAAAATGCATGAACCCCTCTCAGTTGTGCACCCTTGTGTATCATTGTATGGGGACACCATGGTTATTAGACTGACACAGCAACCTAATGCAAATGTCTGGTATAAAAAATAATGACAATTAGCAGCAGCAGAGGATGGCAAATAATCATCTTCAGGTGACAAATGCGGGAAACCTGAGAAGTACCAGAGGGTAGTGGGACTTCTCCAGTTGCTCCTTAGGACTAATTACCTAATAAAACCAGGATGTGATGGTAAGATACTGAGTCATAGATTCAATGTGAGACGCTGTGCTATATTAGAAGATGAAGTAAAAAGGTATTTTGAGTCTCTCTGGCTGGAAGTAAATGTCTTATCTAAAAAACCACATACATTATGGTTTCAGATATCTGCATTTTTCCAGCCTAATTCTTGATTATTGCAGAGGAGGTATTTGTTTAGCATGGGACTCTTCCCAAAGTATCACCATTTAAATTCTCCAGCTTGCAGCAACACACTTTCTATTTTGGCAAGATGAATCTTCTGGTATCTGCATACCTCTCCTGTTCCTTCCTTCCTGTAATTAGGGGTAAATCTGCTCCAGGACCTGTTCTTTTGTAGAAGACACCATTTTTAGAGCAATACATCATTGGCAAGTCATGACACTAACAGATCCTTGGAGAGGGCTGCCTCTCTGAAGAGGTGTAGTATCACCTTGATCCCTGCTAGACACTGCTCAGTAAAGAGCTCCATCAGTTGGTGAAAAAGCAGGAATAAACTCGTTTTAGCTATAAGGATGCAGGTGGAACCTACTTTTCAATTAAATATCCTCGACAAAGTATCTCTTTTTTATCTTGTCCTATTTCCCCTCAACAGTCCCCTAACCTTATTTTGATTTTAGGGATTCAAGCTGAGCTGGATGGATGAATAATGATGGGGTTTTTTCCCCCCCAGAAATATTTACTTGCATCTGGAAATGAATCACTTCTATTTTTGCACTTGCCTCTGCTTTCCATGGACATTGGTCTGATAGTTTTGTATGGATCAACACAGAGCAGAAACATCAGAAAGAGTTGTGTTTGTACCTCCTTTCGTGGTACTGGGGATTTGCTGGTGTTTACATACCATGGCTCTTTTTCTCAGTCCAAACACTTGCCCATATAGAGGGTGTGAATTACAGATTGATCTCAGCCTTGTTAAGCTGTGGATGAGAATCCAGTGGTGTCAGAACCTGCTGGTCCACAGACCAGTCTGGTCCCCAGAGCTTGTGTTTCTTTATTCAAGAAGAAGATCAGCTGGTTGAGGTGCTGAAAATGAACCACATGACAAAATGGACCCATTTATCAGCACAACAGAGACTATTGCCCAGGAGCCAGAAGGCATGAAAAATATTCAAAATAAGACTGAAGAAACTAGTATAAATAAATGTGAATAGAGCCACAGGTCTGTTCATCAGGTAATAGCATTTTTTGGGGGCAATTCAGAATACCTAAATGGCCATCCTCAGAGGAGGTTGCTTAAGGAGCTCAGTCTGAGAGACAAAATTAGATGTCCAAAGCTAGAGACTGAATGCTGCCAACGTGTTGGCAAACTTGGCCTTGTCTTTAGTTACTCAGTACCCTCTTGAGGAAGTGGATGCTGGAAAGTGAAACCTTCTCTCTGTTACGATGATATTTCCCCTTCTTACTGGTACCCGGAAGGAAACCTGGTGGATTTACACTTTGGTTGTAGTGTCAGATGATTCACGGGGTGATGCCTGCTCTGGTCCTGCCGTGTGCATTGCTGTTCCATCAGCTGCACTGCCCTGCTGTCCGTCAATCCATCCATCCATCCATCCATCCATCCATCCATCCATCCATCCCTGTCCATCCATCCATCATCCATCCATCCATCCATCCATCCATCCATCCATCCATCCATCCATCCACCATCCATCCATCCATCATTCCATCCCTCTCTGTCCATCCCTGCCCGTTTATCCCTTTCCATCCATCCACGCCCCCAGAGCCCTGGTTTGTTGCATTGTTCTCAGAGCAGCTCGGAAGCAGCACTCAGAGCCGGGATTTCCTCCGTGTCAGCACACACAGGGGCTCTCCACTGACTCACTGGACTGCTCCCAAAAATAGCAACTTCAGAATAGAAACCTTCGTGCCCTTTCTGTCCTGGAGAACAATGTCTTGAACAATTTTTTCCTCCCTGAGTATAAAATAAATCCCCTTTGTGCTTCCAGCTTGGCAGGGTTAAGATGGAAGGGCTTGGTTCAGTGCTCAGAGCACCTGACTGTGCTTTCAAGGAGAGGAGTTAATCACTGGGACTGTTATTTACTTAATTCTCAGCAGAGACATTATTTATTTCATTTTCATCAAGTCTTTCTGGTTTTTGTCTGGGGAAATGGAGACTTAAAATGGAGAGAGATTCAAGCAAACACCCCTCTTCACAGCCTGGGCTTTTTTTGTCTTTCTTCAGGGCAGAAACCAGACAGAACAATCAATGAATCCAACAGGAAGGACAAGGAATGTTAATGAAGTGTAGGATCCTTCAAACAACTAAAGTGCCCAAGGATTTTTGGAGTGTTTCCTTATTTTCTGTTATTATTTAAAAAATGCCTAAACATCTGCCAAGCCCATCTGAGAAAGAGCAAGACCCTTCTATGTATAACTGTGTGTCAGTGCTTTACAAACCCAGTAGCCAAATCTCTGTGGGTTGGCAGCTGCTGGTGGTCTCTGTGCAGCTCAATTCCTGTTGGGCTGTGAGGGAATCCTCAGGGAACAGCACTGGCAGTGGGACCCCAACCTGTCAGCCTTCTGTTCCTGGCACCCATCACTCGTGCAGCCTGGCTCCTCTGCAAGCTGGCAGCATCCTGATTTTGGGAACTGATCTGCTGGATTTTAGTCACTTACTGTCAGCAAGGGCCTTATCCAAACTGCATCTCTGCAGCTGAAGACAGACTGGGCTGCTGGGCTAAGCTGTGCACTCTCCAAGGGCTGGGTAGGCAGCCTGATAATTTCAGAGATAATTTTCACAGTTTCAGATAATTTTCAGAGCTTCATGTCTTCAGTTTTTCTGATAATCCAGGTCTAGCAACCCCATGTGGGAACACTTTCAGGGAGCCAGGCTGTTTCCTCAGCAGAGGTTGTGACTACTGAGAAATATCGGAAATTTTGCTCCAACAAGAAGTAATCACAAATACTGGAAAAAGGTGTTTAAATATACGACTTCCTGAAAAGTAGGAGAGGTGGGATTCAACTGGTTTGCTTTGTACAGAGAAAACCCCAAATCATCTTCTCCAAAGTATGTGTTGAGCTTTTGAAAATCTTCTTCCCCCTCCTCCCTGCCCGTCTCTACAATAAGTACAATTGTTAGACAAGGCAGGTCTTTGTGCTCCAAATTTAATACATAGTTTTTGACCCATGGAATGATAAGCTGGAAAATAAATGGCTGGATTTTCCCCAGTGCTGAAGAACTCCTTTCAGATTGACTTGGGAACTTGCCTATTCTCGTCTGCCCACCTGGCTTTCACTTTGATATCCCTAACATTATCATAACTTTTATTATGTTTTCATGTCAGTCAAGCCTTCTTCACTAAATTACTTTCATTTATACATCCTCTCCTGCTATTTGGTCTCATCATCATCTAAGATTTAAGGTGAAAAAGTTTCTTCTATTTGACAGGGTGGGAGGTGGAAATTACTATGTGAACAGTAAACTACAGGTTACATAAATAATGTGTCATTGTATATCACCCAGTGGAGCCTTAAATCAATTCATTAGTTTGTATAAAGCCTTTGTCTGCTTTTTAACTGCATCATATCCAAGTTGATTACACATTTGCCCTGAGTTTGGTTCTTTTCCTTTCTTTATGTCATCAGCTTTCAGGATTCTTATATAGTTACGCAGAGTGTGTTTCTAAAGATTGTTTTTCTTTCTTGAGAGGCTTGGTTTATGTTTTTTCCTCTGCTTCTCGACACATCCCTAGCCCAAGGCAAAAGTGTGCATTTTGTTCATGAAAGGTAGACACAGGGATATTCTTCCCTGTGAAAGAGTGAAAAGGCAAGCTGAGATATGCTGGATTACTGAGAGAAGAACTGAAAAGCAGCTGGTTGATCCAGAGTGAGCCATTCACTTGCTTTTATGCTGCTTAATAGAAAAAAAAAATCCATAGTCTGGACTGTACTATTTATACTAACACCAAGAGTATCCTAGTCTTTTCATAGGTTAACTTTTTTTTACAGGCATGCCAGAAGAGATTGCTTTTTAGTTGAAGGTGAGATCATGGTAACCCAGAAGAACCTTGTTTTGGAAAAGGACAGAATTGAATAATATTTTTTTACAGTCTTTACTGAAAATCTTAAGAAGATACTAGTTTGGGGAAACAAGAAAGAGAGAAGCAACATTTTATTACATTGTCAGTAACTGCCCATGCTGAAAACTGGTCTAGCCTGACTGCAAAGCAAAAACAGACATTGCTTTGATACAATGATCGATTTTATTATTCCAGCTGAGATTTTTCTCTTTCATTTTTCTGCAGATCTCCTCTGGTCAGTAAATAAGGAACTGTACAAAAGTCCTTTACAATGCAGACTTGATGTTCAACAATATTAAGCAAGAAAATATTCCAAAAGTCATGAAACAGCCATCAAAAGTACTGCTCCTTTTTTCAATCCCTGCAAGAAATCAAAACCTTTCAAGCAGAGCCAGATTTTAACGAAGGGTGGCTGTTTAAAGCAGAGTTGCCAAAAGCCTTGGCTGTGCCTGGACTTTTATTTTAAGTATTTGTACCATTAAATATTAATATAGGTCAAATAGCTGATCCCCCTGAGCAGATGAAATCTGCACAATGAAAACAAACACACTGTAAAACATGAGCCAACGTTACCCTTAATGTTACTGCATAAATATGCAAATACAGACCCCGATTTTCCTGAACAAGTTTTCTTATTGACGTTCTGGGAGAATGAGAAGGAAAATATAAAAATTAAATAATAGTCACAGCCCTGAAACTTTTAAGAGCTGATCCAAGGCTCATTGGCTCAAGGGAGGTTTGCCTCTACTACCTTAAAGAGCTGCAGTGCTGCAGAACCTGAAGCACACACAGGGAAATCACAACGTGGTGCCACACAGAAAAGGCAATGTCACATTTGACAGCAGATATATCCTTAAGGACATATTGCTATAGGAATGACAAAGAAGAATTTGGAGCAGTTCTGCTCATTTTTTTTACTGGCATTGTCCTGCATAGTTTTACTCCAGGCTCCCAATTTCTGCAGCAATCCTGGCTTCAGCTCAGCTCAGCCAGGCAGGCTCTGGAGCCACGAATTGGGGTTTGCACCTTGGACAACTGATGGTGATAGGAAATATGGGGGAACCTTCAAGAATGTGGGTCATTGTCACAGTCATATTTTCTGGAAAAATCCCTTTGCCCAGGAGTCTTCTCCTAGGAAGCTGAGAAGCCTCAGAGAAAAATGAAAACAATAATTGCCTGATTTGCTTCTCCTGTGTTTTGCTGCTTTGGAATGTGTTTAGACATTGTTCACCAACAGGTGATTGTTTTATTGGTTTCATGTGAATTGTTTTGGCTTATTAGCCAATCAAGGTCAAGCTGTGTTGAGGCTCTAAAAAGAGTAATGAGTTTTCATTATTATCTTTTTAGGCTTCTATAAGTATCCTTTCTGTATTCTTTAGTATAGTTTAGTATTCCTTAATATAATATAGTATCATAAAATATTCTAAATATTAAGTAAAGACATTTACATAAAAATATTGGATTAGAAAGTAAGCTCTGAAAAAAAACCTAAATGTTCAAGAAAATCTCATCTGATAGAAATTTTCCACGTAGTCTGATTTTTTTGATACAATCTTTTCACCTTGTTGAAATCTGTATTTAAGGAAACGCTTCTCATTCCTTGTATTTTGATTAAAATTTTAAATAATGTTTTTCTACTGATGTGCACCATTCTGGAGACTGCTTCTAAAAATCTAGCCCAAAATGCTCACATTAGAGTGCTGATGTGAAGGAGACAAAGCAAGCCTGGCTTCAGCCCAAGTGCTCAGCCCTTCCAAAGCACACTGATTGGAGTCATAACCATCCGGCTAAATGGAAGCTGGTAATTAAAAATATGCAAAAGGGTTTGGAAATAATGTGAATCTCTCTGAATGTGGATTTTGAATATGGGTGTCTCTCACATGGGTAAAGTGGATAATTGCCTGCCTATCCTGCCTCTATTCATTGCGAATAATTGAGTTGTTGTCAAACACTTCCAACACTGCCTATCACAATAAATATGAGAAGACAGAGGGGCTCTTTGAATAATCTCATTTTTTGTGGCAGAGGAAGCTGTTCCTTTTGTACTTGCCTGGGGAATGGCATAGCAACAGGAAATGAGAAAGGCAGAAAGAATGGAGAAAGCACTGCAGACTTTGCTTTATTTTTAAATTTCATATCTCTGCATTGCATCTCAGACTCCAGCCCCACACCTCTGTTCCTCCAGGGGCTTCCTTTGTACAAAACCCCATGGCTTGCTCTCACAGGGGCAGTGGGATGAGCTGGGTGATGGGGACATCAGGCTGGGGACCAGGGATGTCAGACATCCAAGGGGAGCTTAGCACAGGTCCCCAGCTAAGGCAGCTGTGGGTGCTTGCCAGAGAAGTGGGGCATGTTTGGGTAAGGACTGAAGGGACACCCTCACAGGCTGCACAGGCTGCACGATGTCATTAGTGTCACCAAAGCCCTTTGGAGCACACTGGGAATTTGTCTGCATGTGACAAATCAGCCTGACTGATGGAGGGGGTGTCACTACTCCAGACAAGCTCAGGTGCTGCTCTGGACTTTCCCTGGTCCTTGGGTCCTGCAGAAGGGCTCAGGTGACACTTTTCATTGCTGGGGCTCCAGCTATGGCCCATCTCTTACAGACCCCCAGCTCTGCTTCTCAGCAGCCTGTCCCAAAACACCTCCCCCTGCACACCCTTCCACCACCCTGCTACTTCAGCAGCCTTCCCTAAGCCCCGTTTCCCACACTGTCACAGCTCTCCATATGCCACTGCAGCTCCCTTTCCCCCATATTTTCATCCTTCCCTTCCTACAGCAGACATTCCCTGCTGATTCCCCCTTGCAGTTTCCACTGTGCTGCTGCTTTGGGGGTTATTGTGGTTTGTACCCTTGGACTTCTGCACAGAGACATGCAGGGGATGTGAGCCTGGAGCACTGAAAAGGTGAGAATGGTGCTCCAAGAATTTTGACAGATGGATTTTTTTGCTGCCATTTGAGACTCACTGGCACAGTGTGGGAAGGACAGGACCTTGTCTCAAAAGAGCTGCAGCAGGTGGTGCCTGCTCCTTTCTGCCTGCTCCTTGAAGGAACACTGACCTGCATGCCCCCTCCTTCTTACCTCACTTCTGAATCTCAGTTTTGCTCAGGGTGTGTGCTCTCCAGTCTCTTTCAGACAGTTTCTGAAATGATAATGCAGGCTGAGCTGGAGGAACAGCCCCAGAAAGAATTGGTCTCACGTCTCAGTCCTCAGATTTTCCTGAGGATCAGGATCCTGCCTGGGGTATTTCTGGACACACAGTGATGAGTTTCTCAAAAATTCCCTTTAACCATTAGGACCTAGACATTTCTGCTGCCACCTTTAATGTCAGGCAGAGGTTAACCCAGAGATGCTGCAGCAGAAAGCTTTGCACATTGCAGCAAGCAGAACAAACCTTTGATATCTGAGGGCTGATCCAGCTGCTGCCTTCTAAGGGCTCTTGCCATCACACAAGCTTTGCCACAGTAATAATGCAGCAGTCTGAGAGCCCAGAGATGGTTTTGCCTGTGCAGCATTGCTCTTGCAGTGAATAAGACGCACTTGGGACCTATTACAGTCCCGGGTAATTAGACAGTTCAGCATCTCCACAATGCCATTGTCCAGGCAAATTAATTAATCCTGTGCCCCTGGGACAAGGATTGTTCCTGCCCTATCTGAGTGTGCTGGCAGTCCTGGGCTGCTGGGGAGAGGGGAGGGGGCTGAGGCCACCTTTCACCTGGGTAACTCCACTCCTGGAAGCCAAATGACTTCTAGAGGCCACACTGAAATGTGTGGCACTGCCATCCCTGGAGTTCAACCAAAGCCTGGCTGAAGGCAACAGGCCACATCTCTTTCCATACTCTAATTGTTGGTGTGTTGGAATCAATTCCTGCAGGGACACGTGCCATATAAAATGTGTGAGTCAAACAAACCAGAAAGCAGATCAGCTTTGCACTGTCATTTATACTGGAAGGGTAGGCATGTTAAATCCCTTTTCCCACAAATCCCCTCGCTGTAAATCAGTTTTGGAGCAATGGAGCTGGGTGTCAGGTGCTTTGCTGGTGCTGTGCTCTCAATGACTCTCTGTGCTAAGGGATGTTCTTTAAAGCTATGCTAAAATACACCAGGCAGTTTTGGAAAAGAGAGGTGTGTATCCAAATAGCTGAAGTGAATGAGTTCATTCTATGTACCAGGGAAATGCACAGTGGGCAAAGAGTGGCCAAAATTATAGGCCAGGTACTTTCAGAATGTTCTTGGCTGGCTTCACAAGCAGGTGTAAATCTGCTGGATGCATTAAAAGCCAGTGCAATTCAGATGCAAAGTGGGAGCCTTTGAGGAGTCCTGGAGGAGACAGCCTGCATTGAAGGAGAGCCTGACTCCAGCTCATTAAATTAGCTGTGCCTGGGAGCTTGCTGGCTCTGGAGGAGCACTGGCAGTGCTTCCTGCAGGGAAAGGTGGGCACCATCTCCTGAAAGCAGGTGTAAAGCTCAGAGCACAACCCAAACCTGCACAAGGCATCCTGGGCGCTGGCAGTGGAGTAAAAGGACCCTGAGGAAAGCATGAAACAAAGGTGATGAGAAACTTGGGCAGCTCACTGTTGTCAAAATATCTTTCACTGGCTCTGTTCTAAGGAATAACCCCCTGTGGCTGCTGAGCAGGAAGACCCCATCCCTTTCCTCAGCCCTCACTCCAGTTTCTCAGGACTTCTCACCTGAGAAAGCAGAATCCCAGGATTTTCTCCTGGCTACAAATGATGTGGGAACATTATCAGTCCCTGTTAATACTCTTTAGGGTAAAATACCTCCGTTTGCAATTTGCTTCTGCTGCCCTCCTGCTTGGCTTGAACGTGCTCAAGCAAGGGGAAGTAGGAGCCAAAGCACCCCATCTAAATCTTGTGGATTTTGGTAAAATTTAGTTTTCTTTACTCGTTTTTTGAACCGTAAAGATTTACATTGCATTCAGTCATGTAACTACTCAAATTAAAAACTCAGCTTGGCAGAGATCACCCCAGAGTCCTTTGCTGGCATCTTTCCTGGAATGCCAGCTGTTCCAGAGAAGCAGAGAGGCCAGGGTCTGCTGATTTCCCTAGCCTTGCAGATACCTGCTCCAGATTTGTTTTTTGAAGAAATAATTTAACATACAGGTGGTTTTTGGGTAGAAAGTCACTGTTTTATTTTGTAGATTGCCAAGACTGATGAGACGTCAGGTTCGGATCCAGCAAGAATGAGGGAGCTGAGCTCCCCTTTTAGCAAAAAGGTATAAAGTTCATCTCTGAATTCAGTGGCAGGTATTTTGGGACAGGAATTAAACCAAGGACTGTTTTCCTCTGAACTGCAGCTTAGATGAAGAAAGTTCTGTATCGGGAACAGGGATTAGTAGAACTGATTTTATTATGGCAAAAAACCCCCAAACATGGCAATGTGAAGTGCCAACACCAAAGCCTGTGAACATTTTCTACTTTTGCATGTTGGAAGTTATATATATTTTTAAATGTTAGACATTTAAAGGGTTTGTATATTCTTGATATAGAGCAGAACACAGAGAATTTCTTTGGATTCATGGGACCACACTCCCCCATAATGCCACTATAAATTAATTGGCTGCATAACCAGTACCTCTGCCTGAAAGTTGTATTTTTGCTTCCCTGAAATGCACTTAGAATTACTGAGGCATATTGAGTGACTCCCTTTACTGAAAGCTTCTATCACATAAGATATATGCAAGAAAATCAGCCCTAAGTGAGAGAGAGGTTAGTGGGGGAGCATGGGAGATAACGGTGATAAATTGAAGGAGGGAAGGTTCCAACTAACAAAAGAGTTACAAAATAAAAAAGATAAAGATTCACCATAAGATCTGTCCATATCAGAAGTTTCACAGAGAGCCTGCATTTGGAGTGTTGGGCTGGACAAAGCCTTGGGCAATCTGAGCTGAATTTGGTGTTTTTCCTGCTCTAAGCAGGAGGCTGGACCAGAAATCTCCTGATGTCCCTTCAATCTGAACTGCTCTGTCCTTCTGTGAGAAATTGTCATGAGCTGGTTTTTGCCATTTTAAAACAAATGACCGGGTTTCCAGGTTTCTATTAGCAGGAGCTCAGCATTTCTAAACAAATCACCATTTTTTGGCAGAAGGGGTGGGAGCCAGTGTTCACTGGGTGACCCTCAGGGTACTCCTACACACCTCCCCACAGCTCTGTCACTCTTTTTGAACTCAAAACTTTTGGTGCACACAGTAGGTTAACCTGCAGCAGGTCAGCTGTGTGTGTTTATCCCATACCCAGGTTTATCTCAGGAGTCCTCCAACCATCTCCTTGACTCCATGGACAGTAGGAGGACCAGGGTGACCTTCAGCAAGCTGCCTGGGTGGAGAGGTCAGCAGACTGATGGAACAGGCAGCTTGTTCTCCACCACCCATCTGCAGCCTCACTCCCTGAGGTGAAGGGGGAACCAGTGCAGGTGCTGCTCTGACTCCCTTCAACATGTACAAGGCTTTTGCAGCTGCTGCTGAGCCATGGAGGAACCACTCAAATCCTCTCCCTATTTTTTTCCTGTTTTCTGCTTGATTTTTTTCTCTGAATTAAACATGCTGATGGGCTGCGTTTGGCAGAATAATAAGGAAGCAACAGGTTGCGATCTAAATATTTGATTCTGATCACCACTGCCATCACTTTATTGTTGCTGTTGAATGAAGAAGTGGGTGAATTCCAGCAGGGAATTTACAATCTACCTCTGTGTTAGTAATTACTGATTGGATTTCCAGGTGTCCTGCAGCTGAGTACTCTCATTTCACATTGAAGTAAGATTTTCATCTTTCCTTGGGAGTTAATTGTGTAACATGCAAACAAGAAATCAGCCATGAAAACATGGAAATTCCCAGGTCTTCATTTCCTCTCTTTTGTTCAAAGTTCTATTGGAAAGGTGGGGTTGGTTGGACACAGCTGGGACAATGTGTCCAATGTGGATTTGTGCAAGCTGAAGCCAACACACAAAGAAAAAACAGGTTAATTGCAAGAGCTTGATTCTGAGTGCCACAGTAAAAAATCTTGGGGGAAGGAGGATGCACAATTTTCAGTCTCTCTGTTTTCCATGCTTATGCAAAAACCCTGTACCACACACCAGCAGAACTGATCAGGATGAGGCTATTTCATACCAGAAAAGTTTGACATAACAGCTTTTAAAAGAAGGAAAATTTCTGTCCATACAGACCAAGTAAATATCTCTTCCTCACAGATAAGAACCCTACCTTCAATATGCAGCACTGTCAGCACAACCAAAACGTCAAGAAGATATCGTGAGAAGTGCACGGAAAAATGGCATGAAATTAATTTTTCATTCCTCAGGATACTTCTTCCCACTGAAGCTATCTATCACTTTTAAAGTGACACTATGACTTTAATGAATGCTTTCTTGCCTTTGGGGCTGCTTTGGGTAGAAACGCAGGTAAGGATTAAACAGGAGGAGGTCCTTGATGTTAATAAAATGATGGCTTTCCAATCTGAAATCCACTCTGCTGCAGCCGAAGGGATGCACCGGGTCCCTCTCCTAATGCCGTGTGAAGGCAAGGAGAAAGCTCAGAAAAGTGACCCATTCCAGAGGCACTTTAGGCAGACCTCTGCAAACAGACACGGCCTTGGACACACAGCAGTGACACACAGCCAAGAAGTAGCTGTTCGCTGCTGAGCCCCAGCGCTGTCCCAGATAAAAACCTGGGCCAGGTTTCTCCCCGAGCGCCTGCTCCGCTCCGCTGCCACCCCCCAGGGCTGCAGCAGAAGTGCTCTCTCTGAGGCCAGCTTTGTGTTGTGCTTGGCACGCGGTGAGGCCCTGAAAATAATCTCTTGTATTAGCTGAAACCCTCTCATGCCAACTTCGTGATCCCTCTGACATATTTGCTGCCAGCTTTTGGTGTCAGTGCATTGGCCCGCGGCTCAAAGCAGTTACATTTTTAATGCTGCACAATGCTTACCTTCTCTCCCTGCATCCCTCTCTAGTGGATGAGCAGGACTTGGGGAATTTGGCTGGAGCATCGTTTTCCCCAGTAAAGACTGGGGACTGATGGAGAAAATGATCTGTGGTCCCCCACAGTGTGTACCAAAATGGCATGTGGTAATTCTCATTCTGATTTCTGAAATGCTGGATAACAGCCAGCGTCTCTGCTCCTCCAGCCCCA